ATCGGGAAATTATGCTTAACGCTCCACGATGGAGGAAAGTCAGCTGTATGCCGAGGCGCTGAAAGCGCGGTTGAGTGACATCGTCACTGTCCACCAAGCGACGGGGACGCGTGTCACGGTCCCGAAGGTCCCTGTGGACATCGGAGTCAAGTTCCTTGACTTTGATAGCGTGACACGCTGTCTCGACTAAGACTTGGACGCAAGATATGACCTCATTCTAGGAATGGCATGGTTGGAACACCATGATCCATGGATTGATTGGAGGTCAAAGACCTTGGGCGCTACGCGGACGTCTCCTGGTGGAGCTTTGACGAGTCATGAACCCGCCTCTGCTAGGAGACAAAAGCGTAATTGGCGAGAGCACTGGTCCGAGACGGTCAACGTGCTAGACATTGGAATGTCCAGGTATTTAGACACCAACGGTGCATTGGACAGGAGTTTCGGGCGTGACTCGCGGGCTTATCGTGGAGTGGCACGTCACCCACTGAGCGCTGCTCAAGTTTCGGAGCAGTCGCTGCATGTCATGCGTGATATTGCCGGCCGAGGACCGAGGAATCGAGAACGAGACTTTCATGATGCATTTGAAGTGGCACGTAAACCACTAAGCACTGCTCAAGTTTCAAAGCAGTCGCTGCATGTCATGTGTGACATGGTCGGCCGAGGGCTGAGGGATCGAGGGTGAGGCTCTCGTGATGCTCGTGAAGTGGCACATAAATGCTCGAGAATCAAAGCAGTCGCTGCATGTCATGCATGACATAATCGGCCAAGGGCCGAGGCATCGAGGACAAGGCTCTCGTGATGCGCGTGGATTGGCACAAAACCACTGATCACTGATCTCGCTGCGAAGCAGTCGCTGCATGCCACTGATGGCGTGGTAGGACAGAGTCCAAGGCATCTTGGGCACGGCCCTTCAGATGCGCATGGAGTGGCACGGTATCCACTGGACAAAGACTGCGGGGTTAGCAGTTCTTCGTCGGATGTTGTAGATAAATCAGAGCTCCAAAGGGGCAGCAAGTGAGGGTGACAGACGCGGAGTGCGCGTTCACCCTGGTCTCACCGAGACATAGAACCTCTGTACAGAGGCGATGGCGACCCTGATCCAGGGTGTGTCTACCGTAGACGACGGTACACAGTTACACACCCTCGTCAGCGGTATGACGGGGGAGGAAGATGGCGACGTCTTCCTCGAGGCTATGCCTGCAGTAGGTGCTCTTCTTGAGCTGGACGAGATGTCCCTTGAAGAGTTTGGCAGTGCCTCGAAGGCAGGCGATTTGGCCGAAGTGGTCATTGTACGACCGGGTGGGGAGATAAACTCGTCATCGCTTCTGAGTGAAGTTGTCTTGGAAGGCACCAAGAGAGTGCTGAACGCACGGAGTGGATCAAGATGTCATCTCCAAAGACATGCCTTCGATCCGACCTCCGGACCGAGGTGTGCGTCATGGGATTGATCTGGTTCCGGGAACCAAATACTACGTACCACGCCAATGGCCCCTGCCTAAGGAGAAGTTCGACGTCATTGACGCCTTTTTTCGTGCGAAGCACGACGCAGGGATGGTGCGTGAGAGTAAGTCTCCCCATTCAATACCCACGTTTTGTGTTCGGAAGCCGAACGGCAAGTGATGTATCGTTCATGTTTACAATAAGCTCAACGCTGCAACCATTCCGGCACTAACGCTAATTTCTAGAAAGGATGTTCTTCAGAACAACATGGTGGATTGTACGAAGTACAGTGCACTCGATTTGGTAGATGGAAACAACCACTTGCTCATGAGAGCGAGTGACATTCCGCTGACAGCGGTAAGCACTCCGAGCGGCATGC